TATTCTGCCAACACTGAATATTTCAAAAAAGTTTGCCAGTTTCGGACAGTCGACTAAAGACAACCAGACTTATCAAATTATTTGAGAATGCCTGAGAAATGGTTAGATTAACACATATAATACTCCGATGTCGACTAACTGGTCCGAATATGTTAATAATAACGAAACTTACTGAGCGTAACTTAAACCCGACCTTACCATTGCCGCCATATTGAAAGCTCATCACATCTCGGAAAAACAATCTCGCGAGAGTGATCGGGGTCAGGTCATTCTGCGAAATTCTCGTGTCAGCATCTCAGCTTCATAACCTATAGGTATGTGAAAAAATTGTGGTATTTTCGCTTTTTCACAACGGAAAACCAACATTTTTTAGATTGCTTATTCATTATAAAGGTCTTACAAGTCCCCGAGTGTTACGGTAGCTATGTACACCGTAAAATACCTTTTTTTAGAGCTTTTCTCATTCACCTCTTGCGTTTGATCATCTCTGCGACTGCGCGAACCCGAGCGAAGTAGGAATTCTGAAACCCGGAAGTAACCGCGAGTTGTGAGACCTTCGTGATCATCGCTTTGTTATTGTCTGTCGCCATAATAGTTTATACATATCCTAGCAACAACAAAAGCCTTTGTTCTCACTTGTCCGAGAGTAGAAATTATTTGTGCAGTTTCTGTTCTCCTGATTAATCATATATATTATATATATAATTTAATAAATACTTCAATATTGACTACTGACAAATTAAAAACATTTCACTTTCTTCTTTATTACAGACAAATATTATACAATTTATCTTTACCAAGACTTACAAGACTGAGGTAAGTTTAATAAATTTAATATATACTATAATACAGTAAATCTGCTGATATTCACTGGATATCAATTTATCAAAATATCTAATTAGAAAAATAAGACCAGGTGATATTACTGATAAATGAAAACTGTCGTAGTATCCTGTAATCATATTACCTGTTAATACAATCAAGGTTTAGTAAAACAGACATAATACCCAGGCTAATTACATGAAATGGGACTTTAGTAACATTATTTTTTTCCTTGACCTTAGGAAATGTATGCTTCTAAAAGTGTTGTTTGTTGGCAAGCTGATAAGGAGGTGAATGGGCCACCCTCATACCCAAGTACTCACTATTGGGCATCAATGTTGACTGGGAAAAACCAGATAATTTTGATAAGCCCCTATTATGACGGACACATTGTCAGACATTTATTGACTTTACTTAATAGCAAGATGGGACATATTGTTTGCGATTCTTTTTTTTTCTCTATTACCATCAAGGAACATTTTTGGCTGTTTCATTTAGCATATGATTTAATTTTAAATGTTACCTTTGATTATTCTTCAATTTTTTTATTAATTCCAGAAGAGTATTGGAAATTTCGCCATTATTTTTTTAATTATTATGCAGGTGGTTTAAGGCTTGATGCTTCTTCTCTGTCTGGTACATCAAGTGAGTCAGAAGATGTTAGTAGTTCATATGTACCATCTGACCCTTAAATTCTGAAATAAATTTTTACCACAGTAATAATGTTGTATGTGATATGTAGAACACTCCCATAAATCAGAGTTTATAACAGGAAGTTGCAGACTCTTAGTTTGTTCACCTATTTTATTTGTTTTTGTTCGGGGGACAGGTAAGTGAATCTGCCTAAGTGAAAGACACATTTAATAACTAATAGTAACACTTATCTAACAATATACTTTCTCATTTTTTTCATAGTCACTAACATTAAATATAAAATATTAAGATATCCATTACAAATTCAAGATATCCATCACTGTTTCAACCAGGTAAGTTGTATTTGTTTAAATGATTAATCCATTATGTCTGTTTCATCCAACTGGCAGTCATGTATGAGTCCAGTGTTCTCCATACCTCCAATTTCCTTATAGTTGTTCTGTATACATGAGAATCATTAATTCTTCTTGAAATTGATGGTAATCTGTGCACAAAGAAGGGTGATATATTTTTTTTTCTGGAGAGCACTGGAGTAATACAACTGCTTTCATATGTTACAGTTCTAAAATGGCAACATCACCCAGTGAAGCCGAACCTATTGAGGTAGGTACTATTATATCTAATGGCCAGGTTATGGATTTCTTTAATAGTAAGGGACGTAAAGTCACTGCACTCTGGTTGATGAATCAACATGCCTGTGATAAAATCAAAGAAACCATGTATGAGAGATCGGTAACCAATCTGGTATCACGATACAGAAAGTTGAATAAAAGCAAAAATAATGTTACTGGAAAAATGAGATTAGAAGAATTCCTGAGTGCCAAGTATACATTTCCATCAATACCAAGCAGAGCACAACCCCCCCCCCCACAAAAAAGGTAGCATGCTGCCTGAACCAGAACTCACTGGAATAGAAACGTTTCTTGAAGTTTCCAAGTCACTGGCCACTGAAGTCACACAATTAAAATCGGAGCTTGGCAAGGAGCGAGAAGATTTGAAAACTGCCAAAGGAGAGGTGTCAGTGGCAAAGGCCACTATCAGATTCAAAGAATCTGAAGAAATAAAGTTAAAAGAAAAATTAACTTGGCAGAAAATGGCCAAAAAAAGAACAACACAAAGAGAAGATTATTGGAGGGGTAAGTTTGTCAAATTGACGGAGGAGAGTGACCCCAAGGTGCTGAAAGACGAAAATAAAAAGTTAAAACAACAGATTGTTGACATGTACCATCAACTTGACAACTTGCATGAAGAGCTAACTCAGCTGAAAGATGAAGTTGTCGAAATATATGATGAGGAAGGGAAGAAATACACCCCGGAACTACAAATGTGTGTTTATACTCTGTTGAAACACCACGTCAATAGTCAACATGTTGGTGAAGTTATCACAAGCTGCCTGAAACTCGTGCATAAAAAGCCAAACAAAGTACCATCTGCATCAACAGTGTCGAATATGAATATTCAACGTTTGTGGTTGGCCCAGCATCAGCTTGGAAAAGAATATTCAACCAAAGAAGAAACCACCCTCCATACTGATGAGACCTCCAAGTATGGAGATAAATATGGGGCTTATGCTGCACGTGACAAAGATGGGGCTTACTACTGCTTAGGTCTGCGGGAATTACCCACCAAATCCGCACAAGACACATTGGACACATTCCAAACTATACTACAAGATATTAAGACCAGATCCAGTGTGTCAGACTGTGATGTTGGGAAGAAGATCTTGGGCCATATTTCCAGTACTATGTCAGACAAGGCTGCTACTGAATGCAAGTTTAACAGATTACTCGACATTCATCGTCTGCAGATTCTTCCTGAGGTCAAGCCCAATTACCATCAATTGACAGAAGAAGATCGCAGTTCAGTAGACCATCTGATGAACTTCTTCTGTGGGCTGCATAGTCTGGTACACATGGCCGAAACAACCAGGGGCGTGTTCACTGCTTTAGAA